GTGACTAAACATTTTAAATTATTCTTAAGATGAAAGGCAAAATGGACAGATATGTAGGTAGTTACAAGCTATGATTGTTCGCAAAAAAAATTAAAACAAATCACCGCTAGTTTTTAAAAATGGCAATTGTTAAATTAAAAAAAAAAAGACCGGTGACAAACATTTTTTTTTTATTTAAATCAACGGGAATTTTTAGCTGCACATTGTTGGTTATACTAAAATTCCAAAATTTTTCCAAAAATTCAGCGTAAAAAGTTCGAAATTTGGTCAAAATATTTTTGATATTTTCTAAATGTTTTAAATAGTTTCTATCATTGCTTTTTATGGGTTGGGTTAAAGCGCAAACAATATTCTCATATAAAAAAATTAGCAAACAAAATTTTACTTGAATAATGTTAATGTTAATGTTAATGTTAATGTTAATGTTAATGTTAATGTTAATGTTAATGTTAATGTTAATGTGTTTTTGGCACAAATTTCTGTTTCGAGGTTTTGCAGAACCACGATACGCGCTTTTGTACTTTAAACGACGATATATTTACATATTGGCGCTTACACAATATATTAGAGCTTGGCCTAGATTCTCCTCCGATATGTGGCATGCGTGATTTTATTTATTTATTTATTTATTGTAAAGGACAGTTTTACGCCGACTCCGAACGGCAATTGTACTTTTATGAGAAGCTGTTTCCAATATAGAATACACTCTGAGGTTTACGATTACCCAACCGCTATTAGAAAAAAAAACTTTTTTGTTTTTTATATTTTGATGTTGGTGGGAAACTGGACTTGAACTCAGGCGCTGCGTAATGCTCTACAGCAGCCGCCACCACATATTTGCATATATTTCGGGTATTCTCAAAATACTATCCCGAACATTGGAGTGTATATACATATGTAATAAAAACATAGAATGAGAAATACTATAAGAAAATGTACCCAAAATTCAGGAGCAAATGAAAAAATGCTTGTTGAAAATAGTTCACATGCATAAATTAAAAGATATAACTAAAGCGGTTACAGCGCTAAACAAAAGGAAAAGTTAGAAAAAATAGCAATGCGATTTGAAGGAAACATGAGGCCATAAAATGTTTGTTTGTTTCGTTAATTCTCTGAACCTTTTAAGATATGACACTCCATTATTTGCAGTAGTTTGCAAATATACACAAATTTTTCTAAAATCGCAACCATTTTCGTGGGATGTTTTTCTTTGAATTCGAATTGAAAATACATTACGATCATATTGTACCGAAATAAGTACGGTACCCCTGCATTTTGTAAAAGCCAGAAAGGGGCATAAACTGTATGAAAAAAAAAAATGAATGACAAACAATATCACCTTGAAATGGGGGTGCTATTGTATTGGCCAATACTATATATTGGTTATGAGTAATGTGACCAACTATTTCATAGCTCAAAGAAGTACAGGTTAGGTTGGGCTAAGTTGACGGTTGTTTTCGATCCCTGAGATCTCAGTGTTTGTTCAGAAGTGCGAGCCAAAATGCTTCCATCTTAGCCTCGCGAAGGTTGGATAGGTTAAAAGAAAATGTGGAGATGATTCCACTTCATCTTTCTCTTGACCAATTGCACAACACCTTCAGAACCTTTTGGAGCTACGCAGGTATGATGCCATCGGTCCCGGCGACTTTAATGGGGTGACCGAATTTATCACCCAGGCCATGTGATGATCGTCCAGAAGATCGAGGAAGTACAGGACCTGGGGGGAGATTCTGAAATCAGTTAGCGGCAATTTTCGAATCGCAATCACACTTTTTGACGCAAAATCATTTATATCATGCGTCAAAAAGTGCGATAGCGTTACGAAAATCGTCGCTAACTGGTTACAAAATCTTCCTCCTGAAGTACAAAATATCGCAAGGAAGTACATTTGACTGTACTTCGAAGTACGAAGTACAAGAGCGAAAAAATAAGTACTGTACTTCCGAAAGAAGTACGGTTGGTCACATTATGTTAACAGTATCACCCCATAATCATATATGTAATACTCCTATATTGGCAGTAAGAGCCAGTACCGTCCGAAAACACTACAGTACAGATATATCAATAAACACGTACGAAAGAAAAGGAACACATACGTTTATAAATAAACATGTACACAACACATATACAAAAACGGCACTCAAGTACACAATAAATTGAAAAAAACGGTACTAGACCGCCTCGCTTTGATTTCGGAATGCTAACACATTGAGAAGTTAGCTTACTGCCAATATAGAAGTATTACATATATGCCCATAATTTTTCATATGAAAAAATTTATTATATGCATCCCACTCGATATCGTTGAGTTCCTCATTGGAACATGTAGTCACTCTATTTTTAACCGACTTCCAAAAAAGGAGGAGGTTATCAGTTCGTCGGAATCTTTTTTTTTTTTTTTTTTTTTATGTATGTTACCGCATAACTTTGGACCACGTCAACCGATCTGGTTGAAATCCGATCAGTGGATCATGAGATATATATATATATGTATTTTTTTTATATGGGAGTTGAAGTCGTTTTTTTTTTTTGCTAAAAATTACTTGTAGCGTATCAATACCATGTAAATGCTTTTATTTCCCAGTGAATCATATTTATTTGGTATGAGTTACATCTTACTAGAGTCTACTGTTCGTAGACCACCTATTCACCAGTTTCAAGTAACTAGGTTGAAGAGGGCAGGTGAAGAGATACTGTCTTGGGTAATTTATTCAAAGGTATAGGCTTAATCTGCTAGGTTGTTTAATGAATCGCGTCCCTCGCAGGAGGCGACTTGGTTGCTCTCAGCGAAAGCAACTAAGCAGAAACTGCTTCTACATCCTGCGGCTGTGTGACGTTCTGTCTTTTGACAGGTCTATAACTTCGGTCACTTTAGGTTGGAAATATCAGAGTGATACAATTGTCGACCACCCCAATAATTAGCAGTCCGTGGCTTTAGTCCCAGTAGAATAGAGAAAGGTTCAATATCTTCTAGTAGCGTGGTTTAGTTTACCATATCGAAAACCATCAATAAATTCAAAGCAACTCGAATTGTTCCCTAACTGGGGCGATTGTGTCAAGGTCACTGCTGATCTGGCGAAAAGTGATGGTATTTACTGTACAGTGTACACTCTACTGCTTAGACAAGCTTAAATGGTTATTGATTTTGGGGAGGAACTCTGAAGCAAGAGATAGTGTGTTAGCTGTAGTTTGGTCAGGTGAGAAGCAGCAACTACCCGTAATCCTGATCATCATTTGATAGGGGTGAATGCTACAGCCTTACGGTTTTCAGCTTTGTCGGTTAACGGGTAGAGGAGGGCGTTGTATGTATATTTAAAGCTCGACATCGCTTGACGGATAGCATTACATTGAAATTATAGGTTGGTGTAACTACGGTCGATGTCTGCAAGGAGACACAAGCTCCCCTGGAGCCCGTTGCGCTTAAATGGTCACATTTTCGTCCGCCTCGGAATGTTTGTCGCTTTAGATCTGCACCAAGGGGCAAGGCATTCGCCTTAATTCTTAATGTCAATTCACTTGTGGTACGCAGGTCGAAACGTACTCTACAGTTGGATCAGCCAATTCAGTAGCTCGTTTCTGTAACAATTCTCTACCAAGGCGAATTGAGATATGAATTCGCCGCCCTGTTCTCTACTGCTAATGAGTAGTAGAGAATGACGTATATTCTCTACACAGATAAATTTTCGTTTTCAAATTTGTATGGAGTGTTTTACTTTTACNAGTGCGTATGCTAGAGCGTGCCAAGAAAGTAATCGCCTGTGAAATTGATACACGACTCGCTGCTGAGTTGCAAAAGCGTGTACAAGCAACAGCGCTACAGCCAAAATTACAAGTACTAATCGGTGACTTTCTCAAAGCCGAACTACCATTCTTCGATTTATGCATTGCCAACGTACCATATCAAATTAGTTCGCCGCTAATTTTCAAATTACTGCTACACCGGCCACTCTTTCGTTGCGCTGTGCTAATGTTTCAGCGTGAATTCGCACAACGGCTAGTTGCCAAGCCAGGTGACAAGCTCTATTGTCGTCTAAGTATCAATACACAGTTGCTAGCGCGTGTCGATATGCTAATGAAGGTTGGTAGGAATAATTTTAAACCACCGCCGAAAGTAGAATCAAGCGTTGTGCGACTAGAGCCAAAGAACCCGCCACCGCCAGTTAATTTTACCGAATGGGATGGTCTAACCCGCATTGCATTTCTGCGTAAAAACAAAACATTAGGTGCAGCTTTTAAAATAAATTCGGTAATCGAGATGCTGGAGAAAAACTACAAGTTACACCTATCGCTGCACAATAAGGTAAGAGCGAGGAAATACTTTTAAAAGAAACCCACAAAATGTATGTTAACACTTATGGCTACTATCCTATAGCCACTCGAAGCTGATTTTAGTATGCAGGCCAAAGTAATGGACATCTTAAAAAAATTAGAAATGGAAAATGCGCGTGCACGCTCTATGGATTTAGATGATTTTATGAAATTGCTGTTGGCATTCAATTACAAAGGTATACACTTTAATTAGCACACTATGTATAGAAATTGTGAATAACTAAACTTAGTATAAGAACCCTAAATAAAAAACGAAAGGCGTCACAATTAGCCAAATTTAATTGCTAATTAAATGATGTGCCGTTTATACATACATATAACCAAATCAACATTTCAACGGTTGTTGGTGCATTTATTTGAGCGTACGTTCAGCACAAACTGGATAAAGTTATATGTAAGTTTTTTTTTGTATATATGGAATATATTCATACTTGAATTACATACATATATGGTTTTTTATTAGTTTATATAAATAGATATTTAATCATAGTATTTTTTATAGATTACAATTAGTTTAAAATGATAACAGAGTTCGGAAGGGTAGTTTAGAACTGTTGGGTTTAACATTTCAAACATTTTTTAAAAGACATTGCATTGATTTGTTCACACTCATAGATGGAGGAAGAAAAACTATAATATTTTAAATGAAAATGGTTATTAACGCCGAAATGGTCTTCCGCGATATAACAAAATCAAAGTGCTTAAATGATTTAATTTTTTAACAGATGTTTTTGTTAACGTTAAAATTCCCTAACGCTAGTTTATCGTATTTTTTTTATCAACTTTTGTTATTAATTTTTAGATGTCCTCTTTAAAGGTCAATAGTCGAATCAAAGAAACTACATTCTAACAAAATATAGTAATTTATAAATTTTCGGATTTTCTAAAAACAATCGCGAAGGAGTGCGATTTGAGAATATAATTTGAATTGGTTTATCTTGCTATAGCTACCGTTGATTCAGATAATTAAATATTCACGATAAAGTTTACAAAAACAACTAGTCAAAAACGACATGCACAATTTGGCCAAAAGTCTGGAATACCTACGTAAATAGTTTTTGTTAATTTGAAATGTTTGACAGTTTTAGGTTATGCCCAAAATCTGTGTGATATGGGTATATAAAAAGAAAACGAATAAAACATTCATACATAACACTTGCAATCAGCATATTGCACTTGTTATTCTATATACCTAATAAAAGTCTCCTACATCATTTCATCTTTGTCCGCTTATAACTGCTGGTTTTGAAATTGTCTTTGATATTTAAAATGGCCACGTCATATAAACGCTACACTTGTATTTGTTGTAACCCATAGTATGTGGAATGCACGCAGTATTTCGCTGCAATCATGTTACAGAAACGCACAATAACACATTGGCATTGTTCAATTAATTTAGGAAACTTAGTATATCCTGCTGTGATAATGTGTTAAGATTTTTGTTATCCTGTGCCTGTTTCTGCGCTGCATTTTGTTGCGGTATCAGTGGAGTTAAGTTGTTCATATTATTCAAGCTGCTCATACTATTGCCATTGCTGATTCCACTGGCACCACTGCTGTTGTAGCCCGAAGGGTAAATATAGTTTACAACTTGTCGTTGCACACTTGCGCTCTTATTCCCACCACCGAATGGATTTAATTTATCCAACGATGATGAATTATTATTACTACTATTATTGGCTTGTGGTGAGGCCAGTTGATGATTCATAACCAAAGGATTTGCGCTATGCCAGTTGTTTGTCCAAGCGTCAGTTGAATGCGATTGGTTGGGACTGGTCACATTACTGCCGGGAGATGTATAGGGATTCACAATCGGTGACATTGCGGATGTGGGGGCAACCGAGGACTTTGGCGATGAAGAGTTGCTTAGATTCGATATATTCGAGTTCATCAGCGAGGAGAGAATGTCGGGTTTAGGCGATGAAGTGTGCGATATTCTGTAAGATAGTAATTCACATTAAATCATCCAAATTTTATATTTCTCAGTTTGCGTCTACTAACTTTAGCGCATCATTATTCGATTTTAATTTTAATTGTTGAATTCCTTGTGAAGGTGCGCTTGACTGTTTCGTTGGTGGTGATATGGAAAATCCAGAAAACATATCATCGTCACTGTTTACGCTGTTCGTAAGGCTTGTATTCGCCTTTGCGCCCTGCGATAAGGAACCCGTGCCTTTTTCCAATTCTGTGGCCAAAATCTCAGAAGCATCACGTGGTCTTGAGCAAATAAAAACAAATTAGCATTTTTTTAAGATTAATCTAAACCGATATACAGAAAAAAAAAATAAATTTACTCCCGTTCGAATTTATAAGAAATAAAGTAGATTTAAAAAGCGTTATAATTGCTTACGCAAACTCTACATATGAAAAAAACATTTCCTTCTGCATTCCCTTACTTTTTGTTTTAAGTTTTCTAATTAACCAACGTTCATAATTTCTGCTCAAGCTTTGAAATTCCAAACTCGACAGCCATATATTAATTATTCATGCATGTATGTACTCACTTGTTCTCCCTTTGTATAGTTGAAAGTTGCTCCAGTTTTTCGCGCTGCTCCTTCTCCACTCGACCGAACATTTCCCTAATTAACGCCACAATTGTGTTAAACTGTGCAATCGTCAATCCATTCTCCACACAGAGTGGCATTAAAAACGGTATACATTTATGCGCCATCACGTCTTTAGTTATGCCCAGCTTGGTGTTGGTCATGGCAATTTTATAAATTCCAATTATTGCCATAATTATAGCAGGTTCTCGGCTCTGTATCTGATGCAGGAATGGTAAAATCTCATCCAATACCAACCACTTGTCCAAATCTTCTAAGAGTTTACCAATCGAAATCAAGCAATTCACTTTCACAGAAACATTGGTGCTGTTCAGGCAGAGTTTTTTAATGCGAGGTATCACAGCGTTTTTCATGGCATTGTAGTCGATTAAATTGGAAAAAGTGGGTAATACTGCCAAGCACAACTCTTGTATTTGTGGCATATCACACTCCAGCGAGCGATAGAGTAGCGGCAATACGTGAAGCTTCACTTCTTCAGCTGGAGTCAATTTAAGTAAGAGATCCATTTTTTGCATGAAAATAAGTAGTATTTGTATGGGGTCGTTCAGTTTGAAAATGGGTTTAAGATGTGTTAGAATATGCTCGCAATATTCTTTCTGGCTGCTCATCTCAGCAATAAGCAACACATTGGGTAATACAAATGGTATCATTGGCGAATTTATGAATTCCTTTACCAAATATGGCAAAATGGAATGTAAGTTGACACGATGCGGTAGTGTAGGTATGATTTGTGGAAGTCCTTTGTAGAATTTCGATTTTTGTAAATTATCCCACTGATACAAGGAATCTAAGTAGCTAAGCGTCTTAACACCAACATCTTGGAAATAAACAATCTGTAAAAAGCAACTTTAAGAAACACCAAAAATTAGTAGTATTTTCCACGCACCTGTTTCAGTTCATGCAGTTGTGGCCGCATATTGGGACTGGGATGCAGCAATGCCCGTAAGCTCTCAATCAATTCGCTGGGTACACTATTCATTGAAGGATACTTACGCTGATTGAGATCGGCTGCATAACGCCGAAACGAGCTATAATCACTGCCAAACATTTTTAACGGCTTCCCGGAATAAATTGTGAAAACTAACACACCTTCAAGAAGGTTTCTTTAAATTACTTACACCAGAAAAATGCATTTAGATAACAAACCTAAGGAGAATAAATCACTTTCGGGGCTATTTATAGTGTTAAGCGCTATTTCTGGTGCGCAATATTCTAGACTGGGCTGTGCCAACACATGTATAGAAGTTGAATACTCACGGCAGGGCCAAAATGATTTACCGTCCACTGAGGGTTGATTGGCAATGCAAAAGTCAAAGCCAAATAACTTCCAACTGCGATTTTTATTAATCACTATAGTTTCAGCGCAAATATTGCGGTGCACGATTTTTGCGTCATTATGCAGAAAAGACAGGCCGTCAAAGAGTTGTAAAAGACCGTGGCGTATCTCTACGTCATAGAGTTTTTTATCCGAACGCACTGCGTCACCTACTACATTCGCAAGCGAGGCGAATACGGGCTCCGTGGCAAAGGCTAATGAATCGCGTGACTCCTCGAGCGGATGCTGAACGGTCAAGACGTGTGGATGTCGTATTTTTGTCAACTGTTGCACGCCTCGCCGTAGGGTTTCCAACATGGTCTCGCGATCATCTTTCGCCCAGCGCTCTAGCATTTTCTTCTCGAATACAAATACAGATACTTCCTGTTTTGTACTCTTCTTATACCCATTGTACACTTTCCACATAAGGCCTTTTGGTGGTATAAAACAGAACGTGACACGAGTTTTTTTTTTTTGTTTATTTGCAATTACTTACCAACGCCTGCTGTACACACCTGCTCCAGTACTTCATATTCCCTGGTGACATTGTTTCCTGGTAAGACTCCCGACAGCTGTGAGACTGTCGTATGCACAGTTGAGTAAAATTTATTTATCACATCCATAGCCATCTAGCTTTGTCGATTAAACTAATTTATTAAAAAAGGTTTTAATGGAATTTGAACTTTGTAATGCAGGGATTTTAAGGCTTTTTAATCTCAAAATATACCCTAATAAATTTTTTCCTAATGTCGTCGGATCTTTTGTTGTCTATCTTCTCTCCGCTTTCTTTAATTGATATTGCAATCGATAATTAGTGATGTTCCGATACCAGTAGTTAAAAGTGAATACTATAGTACTTCTACAAAGTAATGAGTATTTTTACCTTCTTACCTTCCTTTTATTAGCTCGGGATGTAACTATGTAATATTGATGCGCCTAAAAGACGTAGCTATTTCTATTCTCAAGTTACCTGATGACAGTACGAATGGCAATTATAATAGGGAGGTTTTAGTCTTTTAAACTTTAATTTTTTTTTTGTAAATATGGCATTATGAATACTTAACAAAGAAAATTTGGCAAAGACTAATATCTAGGCTTATGTTTATAGACTTACTTTTTCTGGTACAAGTAGAATCGAGTCCTTTCTATCGATACTTTGAGTAGCATTCAGTACTTGAGTTGGGGTGGTATAGCAGTGTTTGCAGTCAACGCAGGGTTGCACGAAAAAAAGTTGAATGGCTTAATTTTGGCTGGCTACCAACTTTGTTGAAAGCGATTGGTTGAAAGGCCGTTCAACCAAAAGTTGAATGCAAAGTTGAACAGTGCAAACACCTTTTTATGGCGAATATTTTGATATTTTTCATATTTCGATATTTTTAGCCATTCAACTTTTTTTTTCGTGCAACCTTGCGCTGAGTTGAACGCAAAGTTGAACAATGCAAACACACTTTATCAGACGAACACTATCGATAATAAAGGTGTATTCAGCAGGCGGTCAGCCGGGCTTCCTTTTCATTCCTACGGTAGTTTACGTATTTACGGCCTTACGTGTCCGGAACAAGATCACGCGGGAAGGAAAGAAAGAAAAAAGTTATTTTCTAGCTGCCGAAATCTCGACGCCATCTTTGTTGTAAGAAGTAAACAACAAAGAGAACGGAGAAAACCGCGAAATTGTTGAACGCATGAATAATCATTTTTATTATGCAAATTCTTCTATAAATCATGCCGTTGTGTTAAATTATTCTTTATCTTTTGTGTACACACGTTGTCACAGGCGAAAATGAAGAAAATTGCAGTAAAAAGCCACCACCAAATTGTAAACAACGAAGAAATGTACAAACGGTACAAACGACTAATGTCAAAATCGTTAAACTTTTTTCCTAAATGCGATTCTAACGGGCTACAATCCTGCCCGCGTGATCTTATATTTTTGGTTCATGGATTTATATCTGACCAAGGACTGTCACTGAAGCATCATTTCCTAAAAACTCTTTGGAGAATTTGTATGAACTTTAAAACAACAAGCTTGCCTTGTACTCTACATTTTTATTTAGATTTTTTCAAAAATCAATTCTCTCAAAATAGACCGTTAATATTGAAACTTGCTCATACAATGCAACTGCAAAAACAATTTTTTTTTTATTTACTTATAATACAGAACAGCTACCGCCCAGTTGGATTAAGATGTGGTAATGCATACAGGATACCGGAGCGTTCCAGGTACTTCACGGTTTGCAGGAATTTATGGCGAAAACAGCTTTTCCTGTAAAACCTACAAATCTTGAAACACCTGGAATACGTTTATTATGTCACAAGAAATGTGTAATCAAATTTTGGAACCAACTTCCCGATTAGCTAGACTTTAAACTTTGCTCAGAACCCAATGCCAAGGCAATATGAAAGATGAATTAATCCGCTAGACGGCGCAGGAGCCGAGATATTTTGAAAACCCGTATTTAAAGTCCGATTTGGATTTGCCAATTCTTTAGTGGTCGAACGAAAGCACTTGCGAAACAATTGCCTAGACATATATTTTACAGTATAATTTTATTTTAAAAATACTAATATCAATGATCACAGACCATACATTTTTACACATTAAAAATGTGATGTTTTTACGTGCAATGTCTAGCGAAATACATTATCTCATATCATATTAAAATGTTTGATGCATTCAAATACCAGTATGGACTTTTATACAATAATAAATTAAATAAATTCGTAAACCAAATAACGATAGCGTTGTAGCATTTTTTGATCAGACTCCAGTTTAAATAGATCGCTTTGACCCTTCAGCTGCAGCTCAGCCTTGAAGAACAAATATTTTTATTTCTAAATATAGCATTTGAAAAACAAAAATAATCATGGTTCTCCCACCTTATCATCATTGTCAGACTTGTTTTCATAAAAGTTAAATGTAAGAGGTTTCGTTCGATGGCCCACAATGTCGTTCACATCTAAACATGGATTAGAACTGTAGCTAATAATACATCTCTCCAAACTTATTTCATCCAAATGTGCCGAAACTGAAAAAAGGTTTTGAAAATCCGCCTCGTTGCGAACGTAACAAGCATGAAAGTGTAATATACGCAACGTGGGTAGTAGGCAAATGTAAGGAAGCATTTCTGAAAACGCCATTGGATCAATAGCTAGAAGCAAATGTCGCAGGTGCGTATGCAAACGCAAATCAATAATTTTTGGGAATATCGTTGTGATATCACGTGTGCTTATCCCCTCAATACGATGCGTGTTACGTAGCTCCACTAGTTGGTTATTTAACGTATCCAAGTTAGGCGTAGAGTACAAATCACTGACCTGCAGCTCCTTCAATTGCTTCAGATTATTCAGTTGTGGCGTGAAATAGGATAATTCATATGAGTTCAGCACCAACACACGTAAAGCAGAATTTTCTAAGGCATTGTCCGATAGGCGAGGTAGCTCTACTTTAAAGCTCTTCAGTATTAATGTATGTATTGGTAGTTCTCGTAATATATCTTCTAAGTAGTCGAATTGGAAGGTGAAACAAGAAGTGAGTGTCAAATATTCTAAACGCTTCCACATTATAAAGCCTGCGCCAGTGAACTTTCCAGCTGCATGCAAGATTTTTATATTTGGAAATATATTATACAAAATGGCTACGAATTCTTGTTGCAGCAACTGTGCCCCTTTCACTGAAATGTACAACTTATGCGTATTGATAAACTGGAATTGCCGCAGCACATTTATGAACTCAACGGACTCGCATTCGAGTTGAAGGTGCTCAATATGTTGGTGCACATTTCCAATGAACACTTTTAGTTCCCCCACTCCGAGTTCGGTTTTGGCACTTAGCTTTAATTCCAGCCGCTTCCTATATTTTCTTAACCATATATTACTAAGCACACAAACAAAACGCTTGCTCGCAAGTGAAAGAGCTATTTGATCTTTTAAGGCAAGATATTGAAAAATTTTATGTAAACAATCTTCATTCAATACGTCCATTACTATGGTAAATGAATCTGAAATTCTGTAAACAAGAAGTTAAATGGATTATAAGTATCTATAGAACTTACCTGTTGATTTACCCAAGACCTATTGGCTTAATTATGTACATAAAACTAAAATCAAATTTTTAATCAAATCATCGGATAAAAGCGCAAATAGTAATGTCGGAAAAACATCGATGAAAATATCGATGTTATGCTTCGTTGCATCGAAATTTTTCCACTTGATGTATCAATGCATCGATGTTTTTTCTAAACTGACACCTGTAGTTCATTGAACCGTCATTCCAGCTTTTTTTTAACTGTACAAAAAAGAGACTTATTTCTAACTTTGTACAATTCTGCTAATAACATATTTTGTTGTGAAACATTATCTGTAGGTATGTATGGCTTTCGATGCTTCAAAAAATATCGATGTATATTTCGATCGCAGAAAAACATCGATGTATTTTTGCCACTGGCATTCCTATAATTGCAGCTATCAGCTGTTTACTACATAGTGTTGCCAAGTTATAGGCCTATTTTAAGCCAGCGTCTCATGAACGAACAACACACTACGGCCGGTGTTATGCAGAAATTTTGTTTGGCAAACTGCGTGCAATTGTTGTTGCAGCAAACTCGGAGAGAGCGAGTTTGGCGACTCTTACAGCAAACTAATTTTGTTTGGTCAAACTGCGGCAAATTCGGTGTTGTCATATACAAAAATTTTAGATAATTGTTGTTATACACAAAAATTGCCGTGATACCGAAAGCTAGGGAACTGAATATGCTGTAGAAGCTTCAAAGATTAGGGCACAGTTAATTGCCTATACGTTATCATAAAAATATATTTATTGTGCGCGTTATGTACATCTGAAATTTTCATTTCGTGTTGGCAATAGCCATGAAAACCATAATGAACGTGCAACCCTGTGCCAAACTCGACATAACCACCGCCGAGCAAAGTAAGCAGCCGCCATTTAATTTGGCAAACAAAACTTTGTCTGCATAACACCGACNTTTCGATCGCAGAAAAACATCGATGTATTTTTGCCACTGGCATTCCTATAATTGCAGCTATCAGCTGTTTACTACATAGTGTTGCCAAGTTATAGGCCTATTTTAAGCCAGCGTCTCATGAACGAACAACACACTACCACGTAAAAGCTGGTAAGAGCAAGTGAGTGAAAAAGCTCGATTTTTTAAACGGGTTCCACGCCATCTTGTTTCACAAAGCAAACTTTAACCAAACAACGAAAACCAAAATTATCCGAGACTATTGTACACACAATTTACGTAAAGTCAATTTAATTCAAATCCAATGACCATGCGAATTTATGGTTCAATAATACAACGTTAGATAATTATTGACAGCCGCGGTTTGACACTCCCTTACAAAAGGTTCCATTTACGAAGGAGGGGAAAGGGGAGGAATGAAATCCATTGCTGCGAAAATGGTAGTAGAAAAGTATCCAAAGTAGGCAAATAGCAGTGAAATTCCTTTTGTAAATTCTAATGTATTTGCAGGAAATCTCGCATTTTAAACGAAATATTGAACGAAATTTTATATGTGTTATTTAGCCGTATAAAAAAATAAAACTACTATGAGCTTTATGTAAATATCCAATTTAAAAACAGTTTATGTTTTCATCAGTTAAATGTGCTTCATATACTGCTATTTCACAGCAAAGCAACACTTTTTTCCAAGTAAATTTGCAAAGAAGCAACACTTTGCCACTGCTAAGGGAGCGGTGCGAGAGAGACAACTGTCAGTTTATCGAACCTTGTATTATTGAATCATGATGCGAATTAAGAACAAATCGGTGCCGTCTCTAATTTGTATCGGGAATTTATCGAAACTTGCTCACAAAACAAAACTTGCATTTTTTTCTGAGTGCGAAAAGTTATGTTTATCAATGGGTTTTCCTTAATTTAATACGGAAACTTATAAATTTTTAGGAAGAACCTACATTTTGCATCCATTTTGCAGCGAAGAAGAACAAAAACAAAACACAGAGACTGAGAACTGTCAAATCGAATTAAGAATGTGAGCGTGGGAATGGGGTAATTCGTGATCGGAAATGGGAGAGCGAACAAAGCAATTCAGAATGGCGTGGGAAAATGGTATAAGGTCAAGGTATTAATAATATGCGAGCTCGATAGTCTAAAAAAATTTTTAAAGCTTATTTCCTTAAGGCTCTTTCTATTTACATAAAGTTTTTTTCTTCTAGGGTTCATAAAAATTTGGCATAACTTATGACTCATAAGGTATATATGTGAATCAATTGGTAGCACAGCTTTATTCCAGAAGCCTTGGCACCTCTGTTTTAACATCTGGTTGTCAAAATTGCAACCCTACATTATTGTTTACTGTGAATTTTATCGCATTTTTTATTTATTGGTTCGTGTTTCTCCTCAGTATATGAAAAATAATTAATTTTGTAAAAATAAAACGAAGCCTTTGAAGAGACAGTGCAACAATGGCATCCACATCAAAGTCTGGTGTAAGTACTAAACTAATAATTTTCCAAATCTTAATAAACTGGTAGCATGCTTATCAGTCCGCCAGCGCCAGTTCCAGCAGTGCATCAGCATCCACGTCGGCACCAGCCCCTCCAACAAACGTTCAGGAATTCAATATACGTGTGCCGAAAAACTTGCGAAAAAAGCATCACGTTATGCGATTTAATGCCACGCTAAATGTGGACTTCGCCCAATGGCGCGGTGTAAAGATGGAACGTGAAAATAACATGAAAGAATTTCGGGGCATGGAAGAAGATATGCCCAAATTCGGCGCTGGCTCCGAGTATAATCGAGATCTTCGCGAGGAAGTCCGTCGAAAAAAGTTTGGCATTATTGCAAAAAAATATCGACCTGAAGCACAGCCATGGATACTGAAAGTAGGCGGTAAGAATGGCAAAAAATTTAAGGGCATTCGGGAGGGAGGCGTTAGTGAAAACGCAGCCTTCTATGTGTTCACTCATGCACCAGATGGTGCAATTGAAGCTTATCCCTTAAATGAATGGTACAATTTTCAACCAATACAACGCTACAAATCACTGTCAGCCGAAGAAGCCGAACAAGAGTTTGGACGACGTAAGAAAGTGATGAACTATTTTTCACTTATGTTGCGTAAACGTTTGAAGGGCGACGTGGAAGAAGAGCAGGACCCAGAGGAGGTTAAAGTCAAAGGAGGATCTAAAAAGGCGAAGGAGTTGAAAATTAGTGAAATGGATGAATGGATCGATTCAGATGATGAATCTGATTCCGACGAGGACGAAGAGAAGAAGAAAAAAGAAGAAGATAGCGATGATGATGGCGGCAAGAAGAAAGGCAAAAAAGGCCAACCGAAGAAGCCGAAGAAAAAACGAGATGTAGATGATGAGGCTTTCGAAGAATCAGATGATGGTGATGAGGAGGGGCGAGAAATGGATTATGATACAGAATCCAGTGAAGAGTAAGCGTGCTGCTAAATTTATATTGAAAAAATCTAATGTCATGAATATTTTACAGTGAACCTGACCCAGAAGCCAAACTAGACAAGGATATGAAGTCTGTAGCGGAAGAGGATGCTTTGCGCAAACTTTTGACCTCGGATGAAGAAGATGAGGAGGAAGAGAAGAAATCTGATGAATCAGATAAAGAGAAAGATAAAAATAAAGAAGAAGGAAGCAATAAGGAGAAGAAAAAAACTAAGAAGATTACGAAGGACGAAAAAAAAGGTTTTTTAATGAAATATGACATTATTGTAGACTAAAATTTCCAAATATTTTCTTTTAGATTCGTCCAGTGACTTCAGCTCAGATAGTAGCGATTCCGAGGATGAAAGTAGCGGCAGCAAGAAAAAAACAAAGGATAATACAAATAACAAGAGTGCAGCCAACAACAATTCACGTCCAGCCACGCCTACCAGCTCAATAACGAACAGTGCAACAAAACGTAATGTTAACAATAGCATGCCAAGCGATCTTACCGCTTCGGAGAATAGTAACAGTCCAGTTAGTACGCCAGCGAAACGAACTAAAGCTGAAGCAACTCCTATGGTGCCATCTACGTTCGCCGGTGTTGTAAATGCTAACAATAAGGAGTACGTAACCATAAAATAGTCTTTAACTACTCAAACGCTTAAAAATATATTTGTTCTTATTATCTAATTGCAGTGATTATGGCATTACCGAAGAGGCAGTGCGTCGTTACTTGATGCGCAAGCCTATGACTCCGACTGAACTACTGACCAAGTTTAAAAATAAAAAGACTGGCGTTTCCAGCGATCGTCTAGTGGAGACCATGACACAAATACTTAAAAAAATCAATCCTGTCAAGCAAACCATTCAAAATAAGATGTACTTGAGCATCAAGCCAACAAAATGAAGAATGGGCAATATTCAAACCCTATTGATGTACGAAAGAGGGGTGGTATTTTCCAGGGACTTTTATATGAATAAGCATGCAACTAAATAGTTGTGGACCTGTCGCGAATTATTTTATGCGTTGTTTTAATATTTCCAAAAGTAATTTAAACGTAGTTATAGACTTAATAAATGAATAGTTTGCGTAAAAAAAAAATTTCAGTATTAGATCTAGTTATTTACATCAGAGAACGTTGAAAGAAAATTTTGCACGTTCTCTTTTCGTAACTAACCATAAATTAAAACTGCGGGTTTGGAGACGATGCAGTTATTCTATTACGGCTATTACTGTCCATCACCCGCTCGATATCTGTGTATCCGGATATTTATGTGAAGAAAGGATCTTTTTAATTATGTTGTGAAACATAGCACATACGAACTTTGCCGTATAAACGCTGAGTTAATTTTTTATTTGAACATAACTACGCAAATAAGTTACAAATAGCTGCGTTAAACGTAAGAATCTACGTTCCCTATTCATGAAATGGAATTTTTATTGTGCCCGAGTTATTTAGAACTGTGAACTGCCAATTAGGTAAGAAGAAGCATTAAGTTCTTCAATTTTTCACACGGACGGGTTTTATTCGCGAAGTCGATATTAAAATTAAAACAAAGAGATTAAAATGCAGCCAAATCGATTCAAAAACACTGAAAAGTTATGAATTCCAAAATTTGCAGCTGTAAATTAAGAATGTGCAAAAACCATTTCATGTGGTAGTGGACAGATTTTCATAGGGACACATACGGACCTACAAACGCCTACAGGCGCACACGGGGCTCCCTAAATTCGCCGAAAAAGTCGAAAACGAAAACGCAAAAAAATCATAATAAAGAAAACGAAAACATGTGAATATGTGTTTGGGTTTGTGCGCAGGATAAGCAAGTCAAAGCGGAAAGCAAATTTTTAAGGTGTGTGTAAAAAGGACAAACAAAGCGAGACGAGAAAAAATAAAAGCCAGTGGAGAAGCGAGAATACGAGAACGACGGGCCAGCTGGTAAAGAACGAAACGTGTATGGAATAAGCTAAGAAGGTGGTTTTGGCATTGAAGGTGGCTCAAAGTGGACGGTGGAATAGCACCCAAATCTTCAAAAAGCGACAGACCAAAAGTAGAAAAGCAGCCTCAAAAATAAGAACGTGAAGCGACGGCAATCAGAAAGGGAGTCGGAACACAAACTTAATTACGTTTTGTAAGTTTATCAATAACTAATTTATTATAGGATTATAATGCTATAGGCACAAATTATGTATATACATAGGTAGATGAACTGGAGAAAAGCTGTACAAAGATAAGCGGGTGTGCATCGCAATGTAATGATCCGCTAATACTTGATATGGGTAATAGTACACCAACTTCCAGGTCTACATATTTATTTGGTGTATGTATTCCCTTTGTGTTAAAAAAATAGATAAACGTCGCATTAAAAGTGAATTCGCAAACACTTATGTATATATACAGCAAAACTTGCTTTGCAGCTTTTGGATTGTGGAATTATTGAAATTTTATTCCTTATAAAATTCCTTGTGTACACCAATGTTTTCGTTATAATGACGTATTTCTGGTGAACGCTGTAATAAACGGCGCGGCGCTCCGTGCTTCCAATTGTCAGCCTTGAAAACAAAGACAGCCTGACTGCCGTAGTATCATAGTGGCACCAAATATGCTTCACCGTCTCCACTGCTGTCAATGTCGTGATGCAATACCTTTTGGAATAATAGGGCGCTCGTTTGTGTGACAAACCAATGCACAAGTTTGTAATCTTAACTTAATAATGAATGCACAAGTAAACTGTACGCCCATGGAGCATTTCATGTTAAGTTCAAGGCTCCTCGTGGCCTTGGCACCGACCTTTTGGTTTTAAAGCAACAAAAAGAAAAACAGTTGGAAAACATATGTAATATCATATGGTAAAATTTTGCTGGCCCTAGATACATTTGTTTTTCCCTCAGTATAGTCAGATTCATTAACGTTGGTAGATGTTTTACAGGTTGCTTTTAACGGAGTTTCAACTATTTTCATCTACTACTAAAACCTCTTGTTGGTCTTAGCCTGTCAACAACCTGTGAGGATACAAGTACAATCATGTTGTGCTAATCTAACTCATTATAGTCATTTGCTGCGTGCTAAAATGCTTTGTTTGCCACTTTAGACTATGTATTTGTATTTTCACTTGAGCCGGGCTTTGATATAAGAAATAACTCAATAAACTACACAGCGAGAAATGCAAGCTCCATAGATAAATGTCGGTATGCAAGCACATAAGTTTACATGTAATAATCGATTTTTATCGCCTATTTTATGACAAATCAATTCTTTCTGTAAACTTACTGCCTTGCTCTGGCGTCATATTTTCTAGCAATTTTGTATTTGGTTTCTAAACTGTATTTTGACATTCATTGTTGTAAGTTTGCAAAGAAAAATTTGCATATTTACACATGTACGTTCATATGTATGTATTACTAAGTACGCGTCTAATACAACTGAATCACGTAGCACACGTTTTTGTTGTTGACTGAATTGCAATAAAGGCTCATGCATGGATACGCACATATGTATATATGTAGCGTTTATAATGGATCTTATCGGTTGTCAGATAAATATGAACATTCGTATGTATGTTTGTAGATTGACTAAAATAAAACCTTTAAATGACAACTGTAATCTCTTTTTGTAAAAATTTTTGACAGTATGCATGATAGTAGAGTTTTGGGCTTATGGTTAAATAGAACTTAAGCAATTTCAGCCGAAGTATGGTATATTTCAATTTAACTTTCATTTATTTAAAGACAGTTCTTAACTTTGCTTAAATATTTACAAAATTAATAAATCACCTGCGGACTACTAACTTTCACTCCAGTGAAGAGTTCTTGTTTACACTATTTGCCATATTTGAAGATTTTATTGTATTTTTGTACATTTTTTTTAATTTACTCTATTCAAGGGAACGCAGCATAGATATGTATATACATACATATTTACCGAATTGTTAATTGATTTGCACTATAATCTCATTCATTGGCCCAGTTCATTGCAGCGCGCTTTATGAACATATTGAGTTGTAAATAATTGTATACGTACATATGCATGTGTGCAGTTAGGTATGTATGTACATACGTGCATTTGTTATAATTTTCTTTGTTGCGATCACGCAATGCATTCTAAATTGTTAATGCTTTTTTTGAAATTTGGTTGCAACTTGNATTGCAGCGCGCTTTATGAACATATTGAGTTGTAAATAATTGTATACGTATACGCATATGCATGTGTGCAGTTAGGTATGTATGTACATACGTGCATTTGTTATAATTTTCTTTGTTGCGATCACGCAATGCATTCTAAATTGTTACTGCTTTTTTTGAAATTTGGTTGCAACTTTCAGTTTATTGCTTTCGCATTACTCACTGTGACGTCACTAACTACATATCACTTTAGTGCAAGAGTATCATATTCCAAAAAATCAAAAACTCGAGTAAAATGCCTTAAAATTTTAAATACGCTCTCAAAGTAAAAATTAAGACACATTTTCTTCTAATGAGCTATTAAACGATACACAGCATAGAAAGAGAGGTGGCGCTCATTTTTTAATTCAAACAACTTTTTTTCATCAACAATTTTTTTTTTGATTACGACACTTGCAGCAATAAGCACATGAACATGCTATGGCTAAAAAAAATTATTTAATTAAGTAATGCTTGCAGATAGGAGGAATTCTAAAAACTCCCCAAACGCTTACAGTGGATGTTCACTTTGGGCAATTTCGTATAAAATTTCGTATATCGTGATGGACGAATCAAAGTCGTTAAGAATTGGAAGTTTAAAATTAATTTTAGTTCCTTACCCAGAAGAACATAGCACCACCCTAGTGTTTATTTAAATTCAAGTAAGCAGAGATGTAACCCTAGACCAGAGCTGTTAGGGAATGCAGTAATTAAAAAAAATCATCTGATTGAAATCACCTGTGATAATTTTATGTGCAATAATTTTTTGTTAATCCTGATTATGTAAGACTTAGCAAATTAGTCCTTATTCTTTTTTTAAATTTAAGCTTAAAAATAAATTTTTTTGTTCCTTAACTAAAGAATTCCTAACTTCCTTAAAATTAAAGAATAAACAACTTTCATTTTAAAATGTATCTTTTGAGACTATTTTAAGTAGGGAAGTACACAAAAAGAATTTTTTGGTTAGGCCACTTCGGCTCTCATGGCCTCATTTCAGCTATATTTTGTTAGTCATTTTATTTTATGGCATTTTCTTTTCCATCGAAAAATGCTGCCTTCTCAGAGCCCTCTACGCACAAATACTAATAAAAAGGCAATATTTTTTGTAAAAAAAAACAACATCAGCCATTGGATTGCAATTCCAAAATGTTAGTCATTTTGCAGTACTTTGAAGATTTATTTTTGTTATAAATAACTAAGCGAGCTAGTAAAAATACTACCTCGCATGTATCCACCTAAAGCAAAACGGTGTTGTTTTTCCATTGGAATTATACAGTTTTCTGTATTTTGAGATTTACGAGTGCTGCACCGCTGTAAAATCTAGTTTTTTATAAATAAAACTATACCACCTATTTTCCTAAAATTTTTACAAAAACCATTTTTTTCTTAGGAGCTATTGTATACATCAATTTTGAATAAATATTGATGAATTCCTTAGCCGCACTGCTCAAAAAATCTGAAAGTCCGGTACATACACATTATAAATTCAAGGCCGTATTTAAGAAAAGTCGCCTAACTTTAACAATTTTTATGCGATTGCAATAAATTAGCTATCAGTCTATTTAAAAATAGATTTAATTTTAGATAGTACTACATATTTTGAAATTGTGGAAATTATCGATGGTCGAAATTTAAAATATGAAGAGAAATATTTTTTTTTTTATTTTACCCCATAATAAATCCAAAAAAGCCAAGTCCGACAATAGACTATTATATACTTTTAAAGACCTATATATCCTCTTCTTATGTCATATTCGATCTTTGAAATCGAATCAAAAATAGTCATTACAAAACTCATAAATCTACAAAATTGTATTTTCTGATCTAAATCTATAAAAGTAGGCAATAATATTTCTCATAAAAACGAAAGAAATCAGGGGGTAGGGTTTTGAAATTTGCAAAAAAGCATTTTCGATGGGCTCCCTAATGTACATATGTTTTCAGCGCATTTTTGTAAATACAAACATATCGTAGATTTTTTTGCAAAACCGCCGTTGTGCCGTTGTGGCAAAAATGTGATTTGGTAACCCTGAAATCCAGGCATCAAGATTTATGCATAAAAATCGTATAATCGTTATTAAAGCAACAGATTTTTTAAATAATAGCTAGAGCGCCTCTCAAAGCAATGCCTTCAAAGAAAACCCGTTTTTTGTTCTCTTGCGCAATTTGAGTGCCGAAAGATAGGCGGTTTTGCAAAAGCATCGACGATATATACATACATATGTATGTGTTTACAAAAGTGCGCTGAAAACAAAATGTTTATTTTCGTTTTAATGTTTCGCCAAAAATAGCTGTCGCGCTTCTATTTTTCCTTTGTCCCCTCTGCCCAGCACGTTCTGTTGTGCCCTCCGATCGCTGCTGTCACCTTTTCCGCTATTGTTGCATATAAAAAACAATTTCTTTTTTAAGTGCAATTTTGCATTCCTTCATCAACTTTGCTTATCGCCCGCCTATCATTGGTGTTTTTTACACTTGTTTCTTAATTACATTTAATTAAACATATTGGCATTTAAATTTATCAAACTAAGTATCTATGTGAATGCATGCGAATATAGTGTAGCTGCAGCGTGTACGCGCATCATGCTGGTCCGAAATTATTCACCCCTCACAGCAATTAACCCATCTGTAAATTTTTTTCCGCTCTGAAGCGATGTAAAGCTAGTAGCCTAGAACTAACGTAATGTTTGGAATATTGACTATAGTTTCTTTCAAAACCACCTCTACATTAATGGCCTTATACAATCCTATCACTGACAGGTCGTAATACAATTTAGAGATTCATTGACATTTAGTGTAGTTATTACTAATTAGGAAAGTCCATCACAGTCCATTATTAGCGATCGTTATAAATGTGCAACTAGCTAAACATTTGTATATTTTCCCAAGAATTAAAGCTATATATATTTATTATTTTGCTACTATGTACTGTATATATGCCATAAAGGGTGTTTGCATAAAAATGAAAACCGAAAATGCAAGTAAATCAATTCAAAATTAAATAAAAAATTAAATATGGTATGTGTTATAAGTAAAAATACTGTATGCGGGCGAAAAATCTGTCACGTCCGTTATCAGATTTTCACCCCTATGCTGTAATCCGTCGTAGATTCGATTTTGCTACGAATCGTAAAATTGGTATGCTGAAATCCGCGTTGTCGTATCGTAATTTCGAAATTCGTAGGCAATCTTCGAAATTCGTAATGTTGGTATGCCTGAATCCGACGTAGCTGTCATTTTTATGTATTTGTCGGAAATTTTGTACGAATAGCAACTCGTGTCGGAGCGAAACAAATTGTTTTAAAATATCAGTAAAATAAAGTGTGTAAACGCAAAAATATGTAAAAATGAATATGATATGAAAAAAATATTTATTATTAAATGTTTACAAAATTAACAGATCGAAGATCACAACAAATCGCTCGCAATACGAACAACTGGTGGAATACATGAGCGAAAAGCCGGACATTGGTCGAGGGTTTGTAAAAGGAGCTAAAGAGGATGTGGTGGAATTTCGGGAAAGCGTTCCAAGAATTAAAGCGGCACAATATCTAGTGAAATGGAAGCCCTTAAAATTTATCATTTAAGCGAAATGGATCAGAACAATCTCTTAGCAATCTCCTTTGTATATTAATACAACTGTAAGCTGTTCTTCCTCCTGGGACAAAAGTGCGCCGGCCACTGAATCCTTTGTATTCTACTTAATTAAGGAAAAGTCATTTCAAATAATGATTAAACTATTTTTTTTTTAATTTCACTATTCACTTGCGATTATGTATATTTATTTTGATTTGTTTCTGCCAAAGCAGCTGAGTAAGAACTTCGAATTTCACTAATTTAGTTGGCAACGCCGTTGATAGTTACGATCGGATTACAGCATACCAATATTCGAATTTTCGGAACGGAGCTACGTATTCGTAACTACGAACTTTCGAATTACAGCATACGGGTGTTTAATTCAAAATTAAATCAAACAACGAATTGCTTCTGATTAAAAATGAATTGGTTGTAACGGCCCGTAATTTGACTTAATTTAAAGAATGTTTAATAAAGGAAAACCTTACAGGATTCGCTGAGTTTTGCTTAATTTTACATGTACTCTGAAAGTCACGTCCGACACCATGGAAACACCCATATGCATGTACATAGTTCGTTATTCCCTTGAAACACTGTATAAAGTGAGTACGGATAGGGGGAAAACGGCGAATCAACTGAATTATCAGTTTTGCAGTCCAATAAAAAAAGATCTATCATTAGGGCAATTGCTACTAACAACGTCGCTTATCAGCCAATCACTCGAGATTCCCTATTCTTTGGGGATTAAATGCCTGTTTTATGATTTAATTTACACTGATATACTTACTTGGTGTATTGCGTAAAATGTTGAAATTGTTATCTTTATTAATATTCTTACGAAAAATGAGCAGATTTTCGTGGAATCGTTTCAATACGTATGTACATACATGATGACGAATGCCTTTTGCTTATATTCGAGAAGAAAACAAGCTAACATAGCCACAGAAAAGTCCAGGTCCTTTATTCAAATTCTCTTTAATTGCAGTAAGGACACTTATCAGCCTGCCATAATCTAAATCTAAAATCTTATTGACCTATTGTTGTTCAAGTTTTTTAGTTATAGGAACAACACCAGCAAAACTCTCTACTTTATCTCAGACCATTGGCCAGCATTCACGCCAGACTTACACAATAATCGAAAAATACTTTTGCTTATGCTCAGATTGCTTGCTCTTGTAATATATGCACTTGAAGTTGAATCCGTGATAACGCAATTTAAAATAGGGTCAATGCCTTGAAGTAATGTATTTTGTATTTATTTTAATATAATTATTAATTTCTTTATACACAAGTATATATACCAAAAAAATATTAAATCTGTATGCAAAATATTTCAAATCAATTCTCAATACTTCCTTCTTTATCCCTTAGGTTTGTTCGACGCACACAACCCAACTTGTGTTACCAATGAGACATGCAAAACGTATTACAGGAAAGCAGCGACAAGAACATCAACGCTTTCTGAAACGAATATACGGTCCACTTTAAATCCCAACAATCGATTGAGTTTGGACTAGAAAAGATCGTAAAAAGACTGATCGGCGGTTTCAGTGAATCATATGAAATTACTTAGAAAGTAGCGAACTAAAAGAAGACTACAGTCCCAATCAAAAAAAAAAAAAAAACAACAGGAATCATTAAATTTATAAAGCTAACATCATTTCTCTGTTTGAAAGAACCTCGCGTTTTTAAACCTCTCCGCCACGAATTCCTACACAAATTTCAACGAAGTATGGAACCTCGTACGCATTCAAAATGGCTACTATTGGAATTTTTCGCGCTTTGTGGACTATCACTGTGGACCCAGCCAGCGGCAGCACATGTACTGGCTTACAGGAGAATAGACAGTGCGGTAAATAATTTTATTTGTACTTTTAATATTTTTGATTTATTTTTTAATGTTTTTGGATTTTTATTTTTTATTAAAAAAGTTGCATAATATGCGTATAGAGCATACTTATTTTATTTTTATGTTTACTTTTCGATTTTTTTTTTTTCAAAATTTTTAATAACCTATATTAATATTTTTCAGTTTTTCTCTTTTTCGCAGCTAATTGAAGAGTTCAATGATCTTCCTGCACAATTTGGTCCCAGTTTGCCTGCGAATGGTATAAAAGTCTTTGCTGTACCAGCTAAAAACATATTTGCCTGTAGTCTTATCGATCCACCACCACGCAACGGTGATTATCCAAAAACTGCGAAGTTTGTAGCCATTATCGAGAGGTAACTACATACATTTCTGTATATTCTCCCAATCGTTATAACTTTATATGTTTTTTATGGCATGTTTCCTCGCAGAGGTGGCGGCACAAACTGTACATTTGAGAAGAAAGTTCGCAATGCACAGGCATCCGGATTCGATGCAGTCATCGTATTTAATAATGATGGTGATGATTTGGGTGAGTTTTCGTTTTTTTTTTTGTGTTTGGAAATTTCTATTTCAAAATTACATTTTATTGTTACCCCTTGTTTTTTTCTATTGCAGAACAAATGTCAGCGAAAAATGCAAGTGGCATCTATATACCAGCTGTGTTCGTTGGGAACAATACCGGCAGTCGTTTGATAAGCTTCTTCACACCTGAAATCATATTGGTGATAAACGATGAGCTGCCATTCAACATAAATACGCAATTGATTTTACCATTTTCGATTTTGATTGGGCTTTGCTTCCTCATTATGGTAATCAAATTAGGAATTCGAAACTAAATTACATTCCGGTTCACTTGAATAAGCACATTATATTTCTTCAAGAACCCGACTAACATTTATGATAAACGATTCTAAAGAAAAGTTGTGTAAACGAAGCGACTACTTGGATAATTTATTTGTTATGCAGATTTTTTTTTATTAAGCAATACAAAAAATTAAGTTCAAAATTGTGGTACTTGAATAGGCACTTCTGTGTACATATATGATCAAAGATTGGCGGTTTTCTCCGGCGAAAAAGTTTAGTTTTTAAAGACTTCATTTCAACATTCATTTATTAAATATGCCAGCGAATAAACGCACTCATTCGTACCAAAGGTGCTGTAAGAACGAGGGAACGAAGCAAAGTCTTAAATTTTCGGCGATTGCCAAATTTACCGGAACCAAATGTTGGGAATAGGTTTATTTTACAAGGCTTGTGAGTCAGAAAATCCATTTGAAATGCTCTGGAATTATTTGAAAGNTAATCAAATTAGGAATTCGAAACTAAATTACATTCCGGTTCACTTGAATAAGCACATTATATTTCTTCAAGAACCCGACTAACATTTATGATCTTCCCTGTAGTCATCGGATAAACGATTCTAAAGAAAAGTTGTGTAAACGAAGCGACTACTTGGATAATTTGTTTGTTATGCAGTTTTTTTTTTTTATTAAGCAATACAAAAAATTGCGTTCAAAATTGTGGTACTTGAATAGGCACTTCTGTGTACATATATGATCAAAGATTGGCGGTTTTCTCCGGCGAAAAAGTTTAGTTTTTAAAGACTTCATTTCAACATTCATTTATTAAATATGCCAGCGAATAAACGCACTCATTCGTACCAAAGGTGCTGTAAGAACGAGGGAACGAAGCAAAGTCTTAAATTTTCGGCGATTGCCAAATTTACCGGAACCAAATGTTGGGAATAGGTTTATTTTACAAGGCTTGCGAGTCAGAAAATCCATTTGAAATGCTCTGGAATTATTTGAAAGGCCACTATAACAGTTTTCGGGAAGTGTTTTTTTACATGCTTATGCCTTTATTGGGTTGAACCCAATCCTTTCCTTGTATTAGCCACTGGGACCTATAAGTAATTTTAAAAAATAAGCAGGGTTGCATAAATAACCGCATATAAAAAGTGGTCAAGATATTTTCTTCATTTGCATCGCTTTTCTTCCGAAAATAGCATTCTACAAAATGATACATTTTTATTTTTCAATTAAATTTTGTTTTTAATATAATTATTTTATTAATTTCGAATCGACTTTNCGCTTTTCTTCCGAAAATAGCATTCTACAAAATGATACATTTTTATTTTTTAATTAAATTTTGTTTTTAATATAATTATTTTATTAATTTCGAATCGACTTATTTCCATTAATTTTAATACATTGCACTCTGCTTCCCCAGATATTCTACATGATTTACAAATGTATACGTGAGGAGCGTCGTTTACGTCGTCATCGCTTGCCGAAGAATATGCTTAAGAAACTGCCGATCTTAAAGTATACGAAAAATTGTGATCTCTCGCAAGACACCTGCGTCATTTGTTTGGATGAGTTCGCGGAGGGCGATAAACTACGCGTGCTGCCATGCAAGCATCGTAAGTACAGCGATACTTTTGTTGTTGTTGTAGCAGCATACAAGTTCCCCAAGGAGTTTTCGGGGAGTGTTGCTGGAGTGACAGTCCTTGGCCAAATATAAATCTGGGTCGTTCCGGTTACGTAGACCCGACTGTCGTGGGAACACGATGCTTATGTCTTTAGATTTTCTTTCTATACGTCTTGCCGANGCCAAATATAAATCTGGGTCGTTCCGGTTACGTAGACCCGACTGTCGTGCTTATGTCTTTAGATTTTCTTTCTATACGTCTTGCCGCTAATTTTTCTTTCTTCTTCCCCTCCGCAGCCTACCATAGTCACTGTATCGATCCATGGCTTACGGAAAATCGCCGAGTTTGTCCAATTTGTAAACGGAAGGTTTTTACGAAACGCGAGTCGCGTGCAAGCAGGACGAATCGACAATCTTCATTGGATAGTGTAACGGATACAGATGATGACACAACTCCACTCCTCCCACCTGCTCAGCCAGTAAGGGTCGGTAGTGGTCAAAGTAGCGCCAGTGCGACAAGTAGCACTAATAATGCAACTGGTGCTGGTACGGCAGCTACGCGTGGTGCTGTTTCGCCTGCTGCTGCTAGTGGTCGGCGCAATGGGCGTAATGCCACAACAACTCGTCATGGCACCTTTAGGCGTGCACCGGCAAGTGATAGCAATTATGTTACCGATGTGACTTCCGACGAAGATAACGGTAAGTTTCGGTAAAATATTTAATTACTCTGCTATAATTGAATTGCTAAAAATCTCATAAATCTCTTTTTAGTATTATTAGCTCAAAACTCCCCAGCACGTAGCGGACGGCGGGTTAATCCATTCGATAGAAGACCCAATTTGCCGCCACACCTCGTCGAACAGCTGACTGGCAATAGACGCTCTTTCTGGCGATTACCATTTTTCAGGTATGCTCGTATGTGTATGTCATTAATATTCAATTTGTAATAATACTCGACCAAAACTTTACACCAATATTATATATACATTTGCAGCTTATTCCGCCGCCCACAGTCAATAAGTGTTGCAGCGCCACCCTTCCTCGAGGAAGGTGTTTCACAGCCACCGATCAATGTTGCCGCCGTTGCGATAGATGCCGCAATAGCGGCAGCAACAGTACGTCCACAACGTGCCACTGCAGCCAGTAGTTTACCCCAAGCGATCGCGGCACCATCACCAGCCGCTCATTCTTCGAATAATATCCTCAATCCGAATTTAGCTGGTTCTTTTAAAGAAGGTGAAGATGACGATGATGATGATGAGTTGCCGCAGCAATCAATTTATGAGCCCGTCACAGTTGTGTCCCAACATGAAAGCAATACAAATAATAATAGCAACAGTAACAATACGAACAATGATAGTGAAATGGGCGCGTCACGGCAATCACAATCCAGCCAAGCTGCTGCAACACCACCACAACGAGCGCGTCGCATATGAGTGTGAGCTGAACTGTGGCCAAAAACTACAAATGCTAGTACCAAATCAGGCTTAGCCTTGAAAGTGTGGTGGAGCGTAAATAGCAAAAGTTTAGCTTTTAAATGAGGAGATTTGTTGAAGAAATTGGGCATGTGGGTGTGCGTGCGTGTGTGTAACACCGACCGATGTTGCAGTAGATGAGCACAGCGACAGGTGCTAGAAGTTGTATGGAGCTCCGCAGTGAACAATCACATCTACATAAGCATGCGCGAACCCACACAAGTCAACGTGCATTAGCAGAAATTGTGCGACTCTGCATGTTAAACAACTGTAAATTACTATAGTCTTATTAACTTTTAATTGTTTGATTAGAATTTTACAAAATGTGTATACATGAAATGTGATTTAATATTGGCTTCGATAATTTTACATGCAAACATGCATACAAGCAAACATACAATACTTAGATATAAAGGTACAAACGAATGGAACTTTTGTCACATAATTACTATGTACGTACGTATGTATGCGCATGTGTAGTCTGAAGTCATGAAGGAAATAACCGATAAGAATCAGTGACAAGGAGATTAAATAAATGAAGCATAATAAAACGTAATAATAAAACTAAATTANGGAACTTTTGTCACATAATTACTATGTACGTACGTATGTATGCGCGTGTGTAGTCTGAAGTCATGAAGGAAATAACCGATAAGAATCAGTGACAAGGAGATTAAATAAATGAAGCATAATAAAACGTAATAATAAAACTAAATTAATAAATGTTGCTACGAGAATAAATATGTCTACGAGCAGCAACTATTACAATACCATACCAACAACAACAGCTACCAAATTGTCTACGTATGTATGTATGCCTATAATAATCTAGATATGTAAGTAACTGTATTCACAAACATATATATACATATATATTTTTACAATTATAATCTGTTTTTTAGTTACACAAAAAAAAAACAAGTTTTTTATGTTAACATTTTATTTGGCTTCGTTTTCGTTGCATTTTGATGCATTCATATAAAGTTGTTGTTTTCGAGTTTCAGTTAATTTTTTTTAATAACGTACATAGATTAATGGACTAACGCAAACATTCTGCAAAAGTGTTAAGCCTCTCATCTATTATGAAATTGGCCTATTAACTTTGTCACACAAATTTCTTGCATAGATCTCCTGAAGACCTCCATGTAGAGAGTTTGGCTTAGCAGACCAAGCGTAATGTAAAGAATTTTGTTTTGAATGTTTCTGAGTTATTTAACATCTATCGGAGAAATTAAGTACTATTGCCTTAAAGAATGACTGCTTTTCATTTTAATATGAACGCAACTTCAGAGTCTCACTTTGTTATGTTTTCTCAATTGCTTTTAGAGTACACTATTCCGAACTAGTGGGGACAGAGAAAGTGGTTTCAAAATCAAATAGTATTCGGTCGGAGAATTAATCCACCTATATATACACATACATATTCCGTAAAACTTAAGAGACTCTTCCATTTGTTTTCCTATAATATTTTTTTGAATTCCGTTTTTTCGTAAACTGCTCATTTGTCTTATGATTTCGTATCTCAACGGATTTGCATGATTTCATTTCACACAAAACACCTGCTACACTAATGGTTTGTTAATATTTTTTCCTTAATTTTTTTCCTTTTTGTAGTCAAAAAATATTTCAATAAACAGGTATGTTAAATAATTTACATAGATGTTTGTGATTCAATGTATTGCATAGGTACTTTTAAAGGTTGACAAAATAGCATTGTAATAAAAAATAAAAAATAAAATTATGTTTTCAGGGATTTCCACAGGGCCCGAATAAAAGAAACATTTATTGTAAATTTAAAATCTTAAATAAAATACATAATGATGAATATTTTAATCCACCTAAGCAAATGACTTTAAATTTTGAGAACCCATAAATATAGTTACCGAGATATTTCGACTTGGAGAGGCTGCATGGGTATACAACGCGATTCCAGCTAGCAGAGAAACGTAAATTTTGCATTTTTTTNCTTTAAATTTTGAGAACCCATAAATATAGTTACCGAGATATTTCGACTTGGAGAGGCTGCATGGGTATACAACGCGATTCCAGCTAGCAGAGAAACGTAAATTTTGCATTTTTTTGTCGTCGCCTGGATAAAAGATTGTCATAAGCGCCATTTTGACGATTTTTAGTACTAGATGCAGTTACATATATATTTTAAAATAAGCTCTTTCAAATGGTTTTATCAGTTATCGATATACAAACTAATCAATATCTTTGAAATGACGTAATCCATTTTTGGATATCTCCTTTATTTTACTCACCGTCATACAAAGTGGCTGCAGAATTGTTGACAATCTTTCATAAACTCGAAAATAATTAACAATAAAAATAAAATAATTTAAGAATTTCATGAACTAGTAACATTCTCCTTCGGAAAAATCTATCGTCGCGGTTTTGAGAAATTGCATTATTCCGAACATCAATCGCGATTTCCCAAAATTTGCCAAGAGTAACATACAACAATCTTTTATTCCAGGCGTGCCTAAGCGTGCAGAGGACCGTACTACTATTTGTTAGCTTTCCGGGCTCTAATGCCTTCAGGTGCTTTAAACATAAAACTGGTTGTACAAGTAAGACATGAATCTTTGTATGTACATCAACTCAATNTTCATAAACTCGAAAATAATTAACAATAAAAATAAAATAATTTAAGAATTTCATGAACTAGTAACATTCTCCTTCGGAAAAATCAATCGCGATTTCCCAAACCTTGCCAAGAGTAACATACAACAATCTTTTATTCCAGGCGTGCCTAAGCGTGCAGAGGACCGTACTACTATTTGTTAGCTTTCCGGGCTCTAATGCCTTCAGGTGCTTTAAACATAAAACTGGTTGTACAAGTAAGACATGAATCTTTGTATGTACATCAACTCAATTAGAGTCGATATTACAGTGAATTAAAAGAAATTCCTTAGTTTTTTTTTTTGAACTATGGAAAAGCATCTGTGAAGTTCAGAACTAACTATCTTCAAAGTATCCGCATTTAATTAATTTTTTTTTCCTTTTTCGGATTTTTGGTTGTTGTTGTTGTTGTTGTTGTAGCGGCTACAACAACCCCGCCCAGATCGGTTGGTATCTCAGTCGTTGTCGTCAAGTTCCACTAACGGCAACCCTAGGAAGCGTGCAGCTTCTGTGGGGTTTGTCCACAGGGACAAGGCCGTTAGGGTTGTCGGGTTTTCCGGGCATGCGAAGAGGTGTTTCGAGTCATGTGGGGTCTCTCCGCATGCCGGACACTCATTCGGCACATCCTCATTCAACCTACTCAAGTAGGAGTTCAACCTGCTGCAGTAGTCGGAGCGAAGTTGTGTGAGTGTTGTGCGGGTCTCCCGAGACAGATGAAGCTCCGTCTCGTCTATGTCCGGGGGTGGTA